CCGAAGGCAGACGCTTAACAACTGAGCCACCCAGGCGCCCCAGTACTGGGCTATCTTTAAAGATAGGAAGCAGTGAGGAAAATCTAGTTGTCTTAGCTTAGGCTGCTATAACAAAATACCACAAGCAGGTGTCTTAAACAACAGACATTTATTTCTCCAGTTCTGGAGGCTGGGAAGTCCAAAGTCAAGGTACTAGTTGATTTGGTTCCTAGTTAGGGTGCTCTTCCAGGCATGTAGACAACCACCTTCTCACTGTGTCCTCACCTGGTGGAGTGAGCTCTGGTCTCTCTTCTTCTAAGGACACTAAGGCCCCATCATGGGGGCCCCACCTTCATAACCCCATCTCACCCTAATTATCTCCTACAGGCTCCACCTCCAGACACCATCACTTGGGGCCAGGAGTTCAATATATGAACTTTGGGGGGACATGCACATTTAATCCATAACACTAGGAAAAGAAACTTCTCATTTTCTGGTCTGATTTCTAGTTGAGCCATGATTGACAGATGGTTCTCATTGAAATGAGGATCATTCTGGAGATTTACCCCGTTTCCTCTGCCCCACTGAGACCCACGGAGGAGCTGGGAGCTGTGTGGAGGGAATGAGATGTGACCTACAGCTTCCTAACTCTCAGCCTGGAACCAGAGCTTTGGGCTTACTTAAGCCAGGAGTGTGAGGCTGGTCACCCCACTGTGGGATTGTCTGAGGAAGGGGCTGGAATTGGATGAACCAGGCACAGTCCAATTCGGTAGGCAAATCAAGTGCTTCGTGGCCTGGTCCCTTTGTTCTCTGTGCATCGGAACGGGAGACTACGTGCTTTTAATCTCATGCCTGTCTTCCTCCTAATAATTAGTTCCATCAGATTGCTTCCTCTGAGAAAAGAGCACAGGTGGATTCTAAATCCTTAGCATTCTCTTCTTGGTAAGCTTTAATTTGTTATGCTTATGGAATTGAGTGCTAAATCTCAGTGATTCAATTAAGACATCTGTCTCCTGTGAACACAAATAAGGATGATTCTTCCAATTCTCTGTTTCCTAAGGGAAGAGAATGAAAGACATTCAAGCGTTCCAGTGAACTTAAACTTTTAGCATGAAGGGCATGGAGAGAGAAATCTTTGAGGAAAAAGTGAGAAAACTGAGGGGGCTCTGGGGCCTCTTGCCCCAGCCTTGAGTCCTTGGGTACCTGTCAGTCAGGAGGGCTAACAAAGGGTGCAGGTCAGCCAAGGATCGCTGTCAGACTGACTTAGCCCACGACCTCTCCTGGGCTGAGATGTGAGTCAGGCCTGCCACTCCAGGTGAGTACGATTCAGCCCTTGGCTTCACCCGCAGGAGAAGTGTCGGGACCTAGAGGAGTGCTAAGCTCAGGGTTTGCTTAAAAATATGTCAAGAATTGTTTTTCTTCAGATCATGTTATGGTGTTATTTCTAATGGTGGTCCTTCTTTCCATTTCCCTCCTCTTTCTTTTTTCCCCATTTTCATGCTGTCTCTTGAAAATAATGCTCAAGGTTCTCTCTCCCCCTCGGCCTCCTCTCCCTAAAGACCGCTTTGCATGGCAGCATCCCACCGTCCACAGTACCTCCAAGGACTCCCTCTACCTGAGCTCACCAAAGCCTTACGCGCCCCCCAGCACCCCCAGCCAGCAGAGGCCCTCACGACCCCAGCTCGTCCCCAAAGGTGTGCCGCGCCCGGGGCCCTCGCTTCCAGGTTCCATGTTTCCCGGTGCTTCCTCCCAGCCCCAGCAGCACCATGCGGCCACCAGGACGGTTTACAGTGAGAATGTGAGCTCTAACCCACGTCATGAGGCAGATGGGAATAAAAAGGTCAGCAGCTTATACGTCCCTTGTTTATCCAATAACATCTGCCGGGGGGCAGTGGAAGACGCCTCTCGCGTTGCGCATGACCCAGCCACGGGCACTCCCTTGGAAGCTGCAGGCGCTCGCGCACCCAGCATTGTGTCCCTCACAGCCGGCACAGGGACACCACCCTCTGCTCCTCCTGACCCTCCCCAGCTCTTCTTTGACATCCGTAAAGCTGCCGCTAACCGGGGTGCGAGCCCTTCCCTGTGCGCTCGGCCTCTGTTCCCAGACGCGGCGAGACCACCTGTGTTAGGCCCCCAGCTTTCCTCTGCTCCCGAAAACCGGAAGAGAAAAGAACCTTACCTTTTGCAGCCGTGTTATCCAGCCAAGGCAAGGAATGAGGAATGTTTATGTGTCTTCTACACCGTCGCTCTCCAAACTCGTGGAGGCAGCTCACTTGTTTTCTGAGCAGCCTCTCCTCCCTCTCCTTGTCAACATTGCCGCAGCCTGAGTCCCGAATTCTGCTCTCTAAACACCTTGGCACAGCCCTCTTTGTCCCCCTTTCTCTTCCCTGGTAGTATGTAAGTATGCCGCAGTGTGGGATCCGTAGACTAATAGGCTGAGATACGGGGTGTCGATATTTTATCACAAGGGGCCAAAGAAACCGTGTTTGCTCCCAAGCTTTCAGGCTCTGCAAGCAGTTGGGGGGCTAAACACAGCCTGTCTGCCTGTTCTGCTGTTCTCTTTCTCTCTCTCTAAAGTGTTAAAAGGATTCAAAAATAGATGGATGGAAAGTCAACTTGGATGGGGTTCCCTCTGTGTCATGGAGTGTCAGGAGGCCAGCTGGCTAGCACTGACTGTCTCATGTACTCTGAGGAATGGGCACCGATTAAATAGTTCCCAGAGTACATCACTGCATGTCCAGTCTCAACTGTTTAAATATGGAATTCCTTCTTCCCTGCCGTGCCCCTTTACGTAACGACCCCCTTATTTCCTACAGGATGCCACTTTCTCCAGTTCAGCCCAGCCTGAGATAATAGTTGTCCCTCTCTACCTGGTTAATACCAACAGAGGGCAAGAAGGCACAGCCAGACCTCCAGCATCTCTGGGGCCTCTTGGCCCCCCAGGCCCGGCGACCGCCCCTGCCGGCTCACCTCTGACCTTCCCGACTCTAGATGATTTCATTCCCCCTCGTCTGCAGAGGCGGTCCCACCACAGCCAGCCAGCCAGCGCTCCTGGCCCCCACCCCCCCGTTAGCCAGACACCACCATCCTTCTCACCACCTCCTCCGCTGGTCCCTCCGGTCCCAGAGGGCCTCCACAGAGCCTCGGAGCCTGACCTCACGGGAGCTGTTTCAAGTACCGTAAGCTTCTGGAATCCCCTCCTCACGGCTTTCCTGAATGTCTGCTCCTGGCAGTGAAAAACCCCTTTCTCACTGAAGTACTAAGTCGTGAGGGACGTGTCCGCTGCCACTGTGCTCGTGTGGTCACCGGACCCTGTTTGCTTCCCCCAGAGTGCATGCCTCCTGCGCGTGTGTGTGTGTGGTCTCCTACAGCTGCTCACGAGCCCCTCACGTCCCTCTTCCTGTCTGTCCTGTTCGGAATGCACATCTTGCTGAAAGAACTCCGTTTTCCCTCCGAGAACCTCCGTGGCCTTTCCTTTGGCTCGTGATGCTCTTGAGAGGCCAAGCAGATGCGGTGTTGAGAGCCGAGGAAAGCTGAAGAGCCGTGTGGGAAAGCCAACGGCATTCTCTCCACCAGGGAGCAGTGAGCCTCCAGGGGAGGAAGAGATTCCCTCTTTTGTTGAGTTAGCAAGTAAACTCTTTTATGTACACGGATGGCAGAGCGTAGTTTAAAAAAAAAAAAAATGAGGGAGTTGAGTTTAATTGAGTAAATGGATCTAAAAGCCCTGCACAGATGTTAGGACTGTTTTCTCCAAAGGCAGAGAATTGCTAGGGCCCCTGACTAGTGGCTCCCAGGGGCCTTTGTGGCAAAATGTTGCTCCAGGGGTCGCGTGAAGGTCAAGGGCCCTGACACCTCAGGTCCCATCCCGTGAGGGATGAGTCCTCATTGTAGGTGGGAGAGTCCACGTGCTTTAGAGGAAAAGCTAAATCAGGGTACCCAGTCTTTCTTCTCCTCAGGAGCCCTGGGAATCGAGAGGATCTGAGAACCTCAGAGTGAATTGTAGAATGGGAATGCATGGATCTGCTCCATAGGCCTGTGGGGTGCAGGGGGACCGAGTATGTTCAAGTTCCTAGGATAGCACTTCCGATGGAGAGAGCGCTCAATAACTGTTTGCTACGTTGTCGCGAATGGGGGCCAGAGTCGCTCAAAAATTAAGTTATTTGCTAATTAGCAATTAATGAGCTCCTACCATATTCCAGGCATTCTGCTACATTCTGTAGGTACGGTTATGAACAAGGCGCAGGCCTTGCTCTCAGGGTTTTTCTTAGGTACCATATTGGCTCTCAAGCTTAGTGTACATGGGATTGATTATCTGAGAGGCAAAAAAGCTCATTTAAGTTGTCAACTCCAGGTTATACTTCAGAGTCCTGATTGAGTGGATCTGCAGAGGGGCCTGGGGCTCTGACCTGGTAACACACATCCTGGGGATTCTGATGCTGAGGGGCCTTGGACCACATTTCAAGATACAGTGGGTCATGTAATTGGCTGATGCAGCTAAATGTTCAGTAACACCCCTTTGTGTAAAGGTGTGTGCCTACAAAACTGGCTCTAAGGGTTCATTAAACTGAAGCCAGTCATGCAAAAAGCAGGGCAGGGAAACTTCTTTTTGGCTTGTAGGAGAACTTATAGCCAGATACCAGGCACACCAGAGCTGGGGATGGCTTCATTCTGGTCTGGGTCCTCTTTGCAAATCTCTAGATGCAACACAATGCAGTTAGGTCAGGACGCAGGCAAACATGGCCCAGGGGCTTTGGATATCCTTTGCAACTCAATCACATTGGAGGAAATTGCTAGATTGTTTCTAATGCACTCCCCTCCCTCCAACCCAGCTTGTAGATGAATTGAGAAGCTGTTCTTGTTTTGGAGGGTGGTATAGATATTCTTCCCTTTGGCACAGAGTATTTCTCTAGAGCAGTATATAAAGCGAGAATTTTTAGTGCCCTAGTATACAATCGTGAGTAGTTTTGTTGTATATTCTAAAATTTATCATCTGTATAGATCTAGATTTGCATATCGAGTTTTGTTACAGGTGATCCAGAACAGGCTAGTTAGGACAGTGTCCTCAGTTTCTCAAACCTGACTGATCAGCCTGGTATAGACTTCTGGGGGAGTCCTCAGCTGGCCTGGTAACTTCTGGTTTGGTCCCAGGTAACAGTAAGGTGAAAAGGGGAACTGCTTGGGATCCTCCACTCAGTGAGAACTGTCAAGAAGAGCAGGAGCCCCTGGGGATGGTGGCCAAGCCACAAGTTGAGATTTGCTCCATCTGTAGCTATTTGAGAATAAGAGGGGAAAAGAAAATTCATGTGAATTGATCCAGGTTCTTTAGTCAAGAGCCATTTTTGTGATGTTCCAGAAATAAGACTTGTGCCACAGAATAAAATTTTGTGGAATGTTTCATGTTCACATGATCCATCCAGATACCACAATAAGCATTTATACCTTAGGAGCCACATGCCTGATTTTGTGTGTGTGTGTGTGTGTTTCTTGGATGCATTATGGCAGAGTTTTCACGGATATATCATTTATCTTTATTAAATCACTTAGGAAGTAAATTAAGACAAGTGTAATTTTTTTCTACTTTACAAATGAAAAAATGGAGAGGAAGCACTTTTGAACAAGATCATGTTATGCCTCTTGAGTCTCGGGAAAGCTTTTATTCACTAAATTGAGCTGTTGCTCATAACTAGCAGCTGCAACATTAGGGCACTTTTCAGAATTAGACTGAAGCCCCTACTGTGTGTCGGGAGCTGTCCCTGGTCTCTTTGCAAAGAGATGGCTCCAGTCATTCAGGTGGTGTTTATTTACCGAGCACCTGCTGTCTGCAGGGTGTTGTGCTAGGTGCAGGGGTCAAAAAAGAGGAAGGGAGGCATGGCTTTTGTCCTACAGGTGCTTAGAAGCTGATCTCTGGAGCATACTAATTGCTTTGAGCCATACTTGCATCTGGAGAGTAATGATCAAAGTCTTGCCTTTCAAACTCCTTAAGAATGACATTCCAGCTGGAGGTCTGTAAATTCCAAAATAGAAATTTTGTAAACAGGTGTGATAGAAGAAACTGTGTAGGTATCCTTACTACATATTGAGGTCTTATTTTCCTGTCTTTAAAAAAGACTGCCATCATTCCCATCGTGCAAATTGTAATTTTAATAGTAATGATTCTGTTGGATTTTATAGCTGAAACCTCAGGTTTTTGAAGTCAGGATTTTTATAAGTCTTTACCACTTCAGAGATCTTTGTCACTCAATACTAGATTGAAAAAAAAAAATGTCAGGGTAGAACCGGATAACATCCAAATCTCAGAAGCAAGTGCTAGTAAGTTTGTTGAGTGATGCAAATAACAAGAGTGGCTTTCCAGGAGGACCAGTACTTAATTTTTCCCTACTCTTACATCGATGGCTTCTTGTCCTCACATTGTCTCATGTCTCTTTAGACAAGTGTACTAAACTTTCCTGATTTTTCCCTTAAACCAGCTCTCGTTCTCGGATCACATTTGGAATTGCATGAGTCTTGCATGTTGTTCTACTTTGTTTTGAATTTCCTTTTTCAGTAACCGGATTGATCCACAGTTATTACCAGGTGAAAATAATGATATTGCTGAGACTTCCAGTAACACTCACCTTCCCTCTCTACCCTTACTAACACCAACAAAGAGACTAAACCTTCCAGATTAAACTTCTAACTGGAATTAGTGATGTCTCATTGATTACATTTCTTTTTATAATTAAGGTCCTTGTAAAGCTGTAAATTTCTTCTTTTTAAAAAGCATTAACATTAGATTTCATGTACTTACAGTTGGTTACAATGTGTGTTCACTTTTCAGGATTCAGGTCCTCTACTAAATGAAGTTTCTTCATCCCACCTTGGAACCGATCCCCAAATCTCTGCACCAGTTAGCAAGCCATCATCTGCCTACCCCTCTACGACAATTGTCAATCCTACTATTGTCCTCTTGCAACACAATCGAGGTAAGGGACCTTCGCAGAGCGCCCCCAGCTCACTGGCATTAACAGAGCTGTTCTGTGACTTCCGGGGGCAAGAATTCTGCCATTCCGCAGAAATTTTCACAAACCCCATCCTTCCCCAAGGCCGTCTGCCCCCCGTTTACTTCCATGACCCACAGCAGGGAGACAGGCCCCTGACTTGGAATGATGTCGGATATCTGCGTAAGTAGGCTGGTGTAGCATGTGTTGCGTGCCTGGGGCAGTCACAGTTGTCTTCAGATGGTAGCACCAAAAAGAAAGAAAAGACAGAAGGGAAAAAGTTTGTGCATCTTAACTCCTCATCATGAGCATTCAGATCAGAGCTTTGCCTGGAAAATCTACATACAATAATACCTCTTTTAATAAGTCATGTGGTTCTTTTTTTTTTTTTTTTTCAAGATTTTATTTATTTATTTGACAGAGAGAGAGCGCGAGAGAGGGAACACAAGCAGGGGGAGTGGGAGATGGAGAAGCAGGCTTCCCGCGGAGCAGGGAGCCCGATGCAGGGCTTGATCCCAGGACCCTGGGATCACGACCTGAGCCGAAGGCAGATGCTTAACGACTGAGCCACCCAGGCGCCCCGGTCATGTGGTTCTTTGACATCATGAATTTTCTAAAAAGCAAAATTTTGAGTACCAAAATAAAAAAAAAAGAAAGCATAACGGGTGGAAACCTTTATAAAATATCAAACGTGTTTTTGTGGCCTCTAAAGCAGGCACTGGACTTTCTCTTGATGACTCACTGGCCTTGACTCTTGCCAGCAGTTATCACACTGGGCTGTCATTTGGTGCACCCTCTGGGGACGTGAGGCTCACGTGGCTGTTTGTCCCTTACGCTACGTGGCCCCATACAGCTCTGCTGAGGGTTTCCATGTTTGTTTTCTGTTGTTTCTCTTACTGCTTCTAGTTGGTTCTTCCCCTTCTCTGAAGGGGCATCTTAGGTAAAGCAGAAGCGCTTTGAGGTAATAGTTGTATCTGTTGACCCTTCTGCTTTAAAATTTCAGGAGATGATTCTAAGTCCCAAGTTTTACTAGTTGGAATTCAATGGAGAGAGAAACTTTCCCTTCATAAAAATCCTTTTCAGTGTGAAGTGTAAAGTTGTCAAGCTGTTTCCTAGAGCAGAAAGGGCTTTTTAGTCTGAGTTTCAAAAAAAGCTGGGCACCAAACCTCTCCTTTTCTTGACTCGCTGCTCGCCTACTGCATAGTTCCCCCAGCCCCCCCCCCCCCCACACACATTAACTTGGATGAGAATGGAACTGGAATCTATTTTTAATTGTTTTCCATATTAAATGGAGTTTTCTGTTTCCTGCTTCTAACTTGTAAAACAGATGAATGAAACATTTCCTCTCACTTAAAAATCTTCCCACTTGAATCTTAAATAGTTATTTGAGTAATTTTATTTTTTTTTCATTATGTATGGCCTCCATATTAACCGTCCTCCATGAATCTATGTTCTTCCAAAGATGACAAGGCTCCCAACCCTAACCCTAAACTATATAAGACCCCATACTCTGTAAGGGCCATACCCCTTACTGGCAATAGCTTTCTCTGCCCAGACAGTGTCCACAATGCAGGACAAAGTGAAATTTTGGTTCTCTATGAACTTCTTTGTGACTCATCTTTAAAAAAAAAAAAAAAAAAAATCCAAACAGAAGCAAGTTAGTTCCCAAAAGGAAAGGCAGTTTCTCTAAAAATGGGATTTATTCCCAAGGCAACTTGGTTTTTGGGAAATGCCAAGTGTGATGTCAGCTGCTTCCACCAAGTTCCTCTCATGACACCCAGTGAGACATCTTTGGGCACAGAAATGCCTATAGTTCTTTTTTGTTTCTTCTCTGGGCAAATGGATTCCTCTTATTTGCCCAAATGCTTTCGGTTCTTGCCTTTCTCTTTTGTGCAGTTCTGCCCTTTGGGTTTAAAGATCAGAATCGTGCTGCCAGAATCACACATCCTTCAGTAAAGGATACAAGTACATTCGTTTTTTGGAATTAAAAGTAGCTTCTCCTAAAGAGTAAACCATATGTTCCCTAAGGAGGCGGAGCAGGACGAGTGGAGGAAAATGGAGGCGCCTAGCCACCTAGCTTTGGATCACTAAGTGTCAGTGGGCTTTAGGTCATGTGTTTTTGGCCTCGCTTTGGAATTTACCCAGCCTGGCAGCAGGGCTCATAGAAAGTACCCGTAGAAACAATTTCTTAACTATTGCAAAATCTCCTGAGGGAATGATAACTTTACTCTACTTCTGGAATTCTAGTTTAGTCATCCTAAAAAAGGTTCCCTTTTTTTTCTTGCCTAGATGGCCCCAGGGCACAGTGTGACAGTAACCCTCTCCCTGCAAGCCAGGCCCCCAACTGTAGACACACGAGGGGGCTTCCCTCGTACGTCTGCCCTGGCACGCACCACACAGCTCCTCGCCCCTCTCCTCAGCATTTAGACTGCATGTCTGAGGGCAGCCCACTTATGATCAGTCTGGAAGAAGTGTTGGAACTAGAAAACTCAGGACTGAAGAGGTGCCTGGGCCCCCTAGCTCAGAGCTTCTCAGTCTTCAGTGTGCACGGTCTTGGGAGTACATACTTGCAGATTTGGATTCAGGAGCTCTGAGGCAGGGCTGAGATTCTGCATTTTTTTTTTTTCAGCAACTTGCAGGACACATCAGTGCTTCCGGTCCATAGACCACACTGGAGACTAAGAGCTCCGTGGCTCCCAGACTCTGGGACTCATGGTCACAGGAAGCAGCCTGGGGACTATCCTTAGGGTTGCTGATTTTCAACTATAGTAAATAACACCCCTGAAAAACAACTGCTCTTATCCATATCACATGTCATTCTGTGAAAGGCCATTTCAGATCCCAGAAGGAGGAACAACATAGCCTTTTAAGTTGAATAAGTTTGCTGTTGCCTGCCTGATGAGGAAGCCCTTGCCTCTGGTTGGCAGACTGGAGTTTGGGAACCCTCGGTCTGGTGGGCACTTTGATTGGACAGATGAGGAAACTAAGGGCAGAGTTTATGCGATTGGTCCATATCCCCTAGCAAGTTGCTGGCGGAGCTGAGCCTAGAGCTCGGCTGGGCTCCTGTTGTCCCTCTGGTGTGAACTTCGTCCGCATCCAGAAGTGGGCAGGCTGTTCCACTGGCTGTGAGCACCCCCACTGCTCTGTTTCCTTCTTGCCCACATGGATTCTGGAGGGAGGGTAGGGCCGCAGCCAAGCGGGATGATGACAGCACCCAGGGGCTGGCCGGTGCTCTATTTTTGTCTATGCGGCTGCTTTATATTTAGCAGCCGTGGAAGGTAAAGGTCATTTTTGTGCTTACCCTGAAGCACGTACACACAGAACTCTCAGAAGGAGATCTTGGGCTCCCCTCCACGAGAGCCCAGGAGGGTGAGGCAGCGAGAGACCATCTGTGTTGGGGAACAGTGGTGGCCTGACGATCAGGGTTGGAAGGCAGCCCACACTAGGAGTTGGGGATCCAGGTTCTAGGCCCTCCTCTGATGTTCAGTTCATGGGTAGTATGTGCCGCTTCTCTGGGGTGTCTCAACCCACCTGCCCTACCTGCTAGGGTTGTTGCAAAGATTTAAAGTGTTAACATACGAAAGCTCTTAAAACAATGTCTGGTGTTTGACCGAGCTCTCGGGAGGGGGTAGCTGCCATGGTTACGATCACGGTTCTGTTTCCCTCAGAACGTTACTGAGACTGGGGTCGTGATAACGTCCTGGTCCCTTGAAACCAGGGGAGTTGGGAGGATCTCCTTCCATGATCCGATCACCTTGAAACCAGACGGAAACAACCAGGAAACAGTGACCGTTCCCTGAATCTTGGTGCAGACGTAGGAGTGGGGGCTTGGAGACACCACACCTGGACAACGGAAGTAATGCCCCAGCATTGGGCTGGGTGTGGTGGCCACGCCACGGTCTGGCATCTCAGCCCAGGGGACAGTCAGGACGCCAGTTTGGGGACGCTCACGAGTTCTGGCAGGACTTCCTGGTCTTACCGTGTCTGTGTAAATCTCACGATGTGTATCTTTTCTTTTATCACAGAACAGCAAAAACGACTCAGTAGCCTTTCAGGTAGGTGCCAAATATTTCTTAACACGCTAACACCTTTGATGTGTGAGCAGCACAGTCTGATGATTTCCTCTGATGTGCTGGGGACTCTGTTCCTGGGCCGTAAGGATGGTGAGAGCAGGCACCATCCTGCCTCCTCCCTGCAGCCTGTGGGGCGGACGAGGCACCCCACACCAGTGACCCCAACTTATACACGGGCCCTGGGCAGCTGTGATCAGTGCCTTGATGGGTAAGAACAGGGTCCTCTGAATAAAAAGAACAAAGAGTTATGCCTTAGGTGGAGCGTTTGTGGCAGGCCTTGCTGAAGAAGTCCCCTTTCTGTTGCTTCTAATCCTTCTCCTGGGATGTGATAAGTCAGGGTTAGGAAATGTGGGCAGGTTCTTTTCCTGTCGGGTGGCCAGCCTGGATGCCAATCAGGGGCATGTGATGGACCTGGGTGAGAGCCTCCAGACCAGCAGTGCCTGGAAGGGGGTGAGAGCAGCCAGCAGAGTCTCCTGGAGACCTGGTCCAAAACCCGGATTCGCAGGCCACAGCTCCAGAGATTCGGATTTAATGCATGTGGGTGAGACCTTGCATGTCTAACCGGGTCCCCAGGGATGCTGATGCTGCCTGTGTACTGACCACACTTGAGGAGCAAGTCTCATCAAGACCTGGCAGTGGTGGGGCATGGATCCGCTAGATAATCAGGTGTCAGGGCTCCGTCCCTGATGAAGCATAGCCCCACGTAGGCAGAACTGTGAGCAAGCCCAGGAATGGGAAGGTTTCACCATGTCCTTAGGGCTTTCTGTAGCCATTCTGCTTTGAGTGCTGGTCCTACTTCTCCCCAGGGGTGCAGCTTAGGCAGGCTGCTAATGACCGAAACCACAGGTCAGTTTTCTTCTCTGCCAAATGGGAAACGCGGTAGCGCCACATGGGTCCTGCGTACGAGCAGCCCAGCGCCGAGCGTTGGCTCTCACTAGGTGCTCGGTAGACAGGAGTTTCCATTGTCAGCAGACACCGCCATTGAGTCGTTCCTCATTTTATTGAGTGCCTACTTTGTATCCGGCCCTGGGCCAGGCTCTGTGGCCGTGTCTGGGAACTGTACTGCCCTCCAGCAGCCCATGGTGTGGTGTGATGGTTCCTAACCGTTTCATGGTGATGGACTCATTTGAAGACTCTAATAAAGGCGGTAGATTCATCTCTAAAAGAAACCACACCTGTCAGACGGGCACGTGGTGGATGTACAGACACATGTGAATCTGGGGCAGGAATCCCTGATCTGGTGGATACACCAATTTTCTCCGTTTTCTGAGCAGCTGCTTCACGATTTCTCTGTTACTTCCCGCTACTGCTGCCCTTGGGATTCGTGGAGAGCCCGGGGGGGAGATCACCGGGTTCTCACACCCACTCTGCTTTATCGGGACTTGGCCCCAGGACCAGGACAGGCCGTGGTTGAGCACGAGGTGCCCTTCGCTGCCCCCTCCTGACTCTGCCACACCAACCCTCTTCAGTCCCTGGCCCCAGCCCAGGTTGCTGAGACCAGGGTGGCTCTGAAATGAAGGGAGCTCCTGTGAATGCCGTCCTGCCTTTGGGATTTGGGAAGGAGCAGTGGAATGGATGAGACGGGCCCAAACACAAGTTAGGAGGCCCACAGTTTGGTCCTGGCTCTTTCTTTTTATTGACATCATTTGTCCCCAAGTAAGTGACTTTTCCTTCCTGCAGCATAGTTTCCTCATGTGGGAAACGGGGATGATTGTCCTCATCCTTCCTTGGAGAGGCATGAGGCTCATGTGCAACAAGAAGGGGGGATGCGGTATGCTTCGCACATTGGAAAGCGCTACGCGATGTTAGGGCTTCTTCACCAGGCTGGCAGGCTCAGGCCACTTCCTTGGCTCCAAAATAAGCCTAATGTTTCCATCTTCCTTAAGTTTTAGGATAGAGCCACTAATGGTGTTTGATAGAGTGGGACATAAAGTAAGTGCTCACTAAATGTTAGTTTTTGTTGAAAAAGAAGCAGCACCATTTTGTTCAGCAGCTCTTGAAGGAGAGAGGGCTGGCTGGGTTGACTCTGTCTGCTCCCTAGCATCAGTGAGGCTTTGCCCAGCATACCTGGGCTGGTGGCACTTGAAGGGCCACTCACCTCAGCCCGACCCCACAGTCCTTAACAGGTTTTTATTGAGCCTTTATGGGGCTACTTGTTCAACGAGATTCATTCGGGATGGAGACCCACGTAGTGTTTGGCCACCTCCAGCTCATGGTTCCCTTGGGGAGATGGGCAGGGAAGCAGGTCTGGGCTGGGGTGGAGGGTCCGGCACATCTTCCTCAGGGACATGTCAGCATTGCTGTGGTCCTCAGTCACTGAGCTTTGGGTGTGAAGAAAAGGGAAGCTGCCCACAAACACAGACACCCTGTCCTAGGTTGTCAGCATAGTCACTCACTGGGTGGCCCTTTCCAGCACCTTCCTTTTAAAAGCTCAGCATAAAACCGGAAGGAAATGCTGCAGGATGTCCTGTTGAGGGATCAGTATTTGCCTCATGAGAAATAGCAGCAACCCCCATTGTCCTCTGGATGTAACAGGGTGGTCCTGTCACCTGCCTGGTACGAGAAAGTGTCATGTTAGGTTTTCACTATGTAAAAAAAAAAAAAAAATTTTCTTTGAGGCTGCATTTCATCTCTCTGTGCTTTGAAATCTACTTAGTCGTGAATCACATGATCACAGACTTCTAAAATAAAATAATTCCGGGCTAATTTTTGTAGAGCCAAAGAACTCTGACAGCTGTGGAACAAACCACGGGACTGTCAGCCTGCGTTTTGCAGTTAAGTGATTGTTAGAACCACTTGCCCTAACGATTAAAAAAATGTCTCTGGGTCTGGGAACCCTGAGAATGCCAAGTCTGTGATTTGCTGCTACTTCCTAAGAGAGGACACTGGAGTGAGGAGTGTGAGCACCTCCAAGCACCGGGTGAGATGGCTTGAAATCAGTCTCACCTGCTGCTTCCTGGTGACAGTTAGGAAGGCCTTTCCAGGCACAAGGAAAATGCTCAGCAGAGCCATATTAAGGGTAGACTTGGGTAACTTGAAATTGCCCTGCACTTCCAGGCTTCCTGCCAAATCCTTGGCCTCCTGTTGGAATTGCCTGGGAGCGTGAGAACTCATCCCGTGAGTCCAGTCTGATCTTACCATCCTTGAAAGCTCATGGCTGTGATGCCAGGGATCGGGTCGTCTGAAGCACACACCGAGCCCCCAGGGCTCGCACAGAAGGTTTAGAAACCATTCTGCAGTCACAGAATGAGTCCATGTTTCAGAAGTCAGTTTGAAATCCCGCCCGGGTCGCCCCACCAGGTGGGCAGGCTGTGCAGGATGTAGCACATGAGCGTGCTGACGCAGCGTGTCCCCTCTTCCCCAGCCCCTCCTCCACACGGGGACATCTCAGACTCAGGCACAACCTCGCGTGTGCCCTCAGGCCCCTCCTTTCCGCTGGATTTTATTTTATTTTATTTTATTTTATTTCATTTATTTATTTATTATTTGCGA